AACATCAAAAATAATGATACCGAATTTTCATGGCGAAAACGTGCCGTGTAAAGAAGGAAAAGTTTTTCTTATTTTAAACCGATACCGCGCCAGTGCAAGACCGACAGATGTCTGCGCACCGGATTGTATCGCAATGCTGTACTGTCCCCTTAATTTTAGTCGCCTACAGGCCGGGGCAGCATTTAAGCAGGCCAGGCTCCATGATATTTAAGCGTCTGCAGTGCATAGGACGCACAACCGTGTCATTGAGCTCGATTGAATAAGGGTGTGTTCAAGCCCAAACAAAACTGCCATTATCTGCAGGCAAATACAAGGAAGCTGAAACCCTGATGCTCTGGGGGTAGCTTCTACTAGTGGGAGCTTTCAATGTCGCCGGCACTGGATTTTTTTTCTTACTTTACAAAACTCCCATTCCTGCAGACTACCCCAAAATATGGAGGTTATTGTCTTTGTGTTGATAGGTTGTGCGGAATAATTGCGCTGCTTGCAGAAATCTCTTTTTCAACGCGTTATTCTGTGATTATAACCGTTGCGCTTGCAGAAATCTCTTCTTCAACGCGTTATTCTGTGATTATAACCGTTGCGCTTGCAGATTATGTTCCTTGAGAATAATTCAAGAGTGATTATAATTATTAAAACTTTCTTAGCCGTCTAAAAATAAGAGCTGGACCCAAGGTAAACATTATTTTGAAGAAAGGGTTCTTCTCTATCCGAACTGGAAACAGTCGCTTAAATATATTAATTATTCACGATTCAGTTTAAAATACTCTAGATGGGTGTAAATGGCTTATTTGAGACACAGAGGCTGTCCAGTGTTAGACCGATGTTCATGAGACACTCTGCGAATGACACAAAATTATTTCATAACATGCCACCTAACTTAATTATTAATTTGAAGCATTTACTCCAAATTATTTAATCTCAAATATTTTTTCGTACTCTTCTAAAGAGAGGATTTGAACGGTAAACAGAATTCAGTTTTAGCCTATTCGACTAGCCGCTAGCTGAGCAGCCGGACAATCACTGATTAACTTTGTTTTTAAGTCTTCACCTTGACATCTATTTCCAGAAAAACATTGAAATTGCAGCAATATGTTTCAACCCTATTTTTAGCGTTTGTCAACGCCTCTGTCAGTCCGATACTGATGTGAATTGCAACGATAGCTTCCCCGAACGCATCGAGGTTCACCAAATTGCACTACCGAATAAAATTTACAAAGGATTCGAAGTACTGAAACTACGGACAAGCGCCCTGACGGCGGATGGCCGTGAACAATACGTAGTTTTGGCAAGCGATTCCGACGAACTGCCATTCGATTTTCGATATGCTGAACACGGAGACGTGATGTACACAACACGTGCTTTGAATCAGGCCAAGACTTACACATTCACTGTGTTGACTCCAACCTTATTAGATGTCGATCGCAGAAGAAACTTTCGCCGACAGTTGATGTTTATCGCTTCTGTATCGTACTGTCCATTTTGATGTCATAGCTGGGAGCTGCCACGATTCGATTGTTCTGGCTGATTGTGGAGATTGATTGTCATGCCAGATATCTTTAATGTCATTATGTATGGAAATAAACAAATGTTTTGCATCAAGTTACTGAACGTCACTTCGAATAATATTCTATAATAAATGGATGTGATTATTTGGAACAGATGAAAAATATGGTATGAAATTATGAATGCCGAACCGGTGATAAGATCCTGAAGCATTTGTCATTTACTGCAAACAGATTCATTCGTTTCTGAAGCTTACATTAGGATTAGCGGATCCTGAATCTGGTTCACATGTATTCATCATCATTTGTTTGATCTACTGGTGAAAGAATGCTTTCAAGTCTTTGCCACAAAATTCATATTCATGTTAGTCCAATAAATTTCTTTAATTCATCCTGTCATCAGTCAGGAGACCCTTTCACCGGCCACTTACGGTATCGTGGAATTCAGCTTAATGTCTTGAGTAACTCTCCTAAGTCTTACCTACTACCTCAGAGTGGTAGGGGGCAGACAGCGAGGTTTCAAGGCGATGAGATGAGCCGTTAGGCCCTGGCAGGTTTGCATGTACCGCGAAAGCTTCACAAATATGCCTGTTCAACTGGAGTGGCAACATTGTCGGTCATAGCCATGCCCTCAAAGATAAAATCACAACTAAAATTACGATCCGCATTTTCCACAGACTGAATTCCCGAATGCGAAGGCAGCACCTGGTCGGGCATGAAGGCAGATAGTCTAAGAATAGTACAGTTACAGAGCAAGCTGTTACGGTTTACTAATACTGGCAACAACAACCGCAGATCAGTGCTAGACAAAGCAAAGGTTCCAACGCTGAAAGTATAACTAAGTAAAATCTTAGACTCGGCAATGTGCTTAACTGATTCAGGTAGTTTCAAAGAGAAACAAACTCCAGATGATCCAAGTATATGGGACAATATCGCGCCATCCTGATGACATGATTGAAAATTTTTAAGAAAAATAAGAGAATTGTCTTTTCTTGTAATGAACAATTACATCAGTGATGTTAGGCTACCAATGCAGCAAGAAAATGTTATGGATTGAATTGAGAGATAGATTTTTCTTTCTTTAAATTCTACATTTTCGCCGTTTCAAGCCGGTATGATTATTTTAAATGTGATATTTCAGCGACGGTATCCGAAGATCCCCAAAACATCAAGGTTATATTTTTCGGGTCACTCGTTTGCCTATGGATCATGGCAATCTTCCCTGAAACCAGGGAAATCATTTGTTCAACCTCAGTTTGAGATGCGGACCTGCGTCCTATGCACTACAGGCGCTTAAATATCATGGAGCAATGGCCTGCTTGAATGGTCCCCTTAGGAGTCTAGAAGCAAGGAGGCGATGCAAGTGCTGCTGATGTGACAAGAGAAATAAATTTCTCTTTCTTTGCACTGTGCATTTTCGCCGTTTCATTCCGGTATCAATATTTTTAATGGAATATAAGTCGTTCCAGATAGAAATAAAAAATGTTTTCTACGAAGTGCAGACGACGGAATCCATCGTTTAGGTAGGCATTTTCAATTCAGTATCGGAGCAGACACTGAAAATTGCAAACGCGTGATTAAAACGACCAGTCCTAACGACCTCACCAATAAAGGCGTGAAGTTGCTTCGGTTTCTTGAAAACACGTGACTATCTGATTCGTGTGTCGGACAGTACAAAAGCATACCTGGCATTATGAGGTTCCTGCACAGAAATCAATGATCGATTTGATAATCGTATCGTCTGACGTAAGACGCTCAGTAATGGATGTTCGTGTTAAAAGAGCGCAGAGCTATCAACCGACCATCACCTTGTTGCTTGAATGCTGTGCTGTAAGAAATGGAGTACCATACGAAGATCTGGTGGCAGAAATAGCCAGAAAATCAAGTGTTAAGCAATTTCTTCTGCGGACACGAGGGCAAAACTTGAAAGCAGTATCGTCGACGGTTTCAGCAGATTCCACTGAAGAGAAATTTGGTAGAAACCGAGTGAATGCTTTATAAGAGCGAATTACTTGGGCTGATGTTGAATGCTGTGGTTCAAACGGGTTGGTCAACTTCATGATAGACAAGTTCAACTAGATGTCAGCGATATGAAGTCTCCGTTCAAGAGGTGGCTTCAAAACAAGATGCAATTCGAATGCCGTACAAAGGAGCGCGCAGGACAGCAGCTCATGAAGTGGCTAAGGCGAAAGCTGACTCCGAAAAAAAGTTTGATGAGGTGCTGGAGTCGAATTTCCAGACGGCAAATTGTTTATTTTGGTAGGCCGCACTTTGTCTATGCAGGATAGGGCCGAGCCCTCTTCCCAACAACGAGGTATTTCACCAGCGATGGACAGAGTAG